GTGGAGCCTCGGCGGCAGGTGACCGGAAGGGTGAAACACGAGAAAAGACAAATAGCGATGATCTTTTCAGCGACCGATTCCTCCCCCCCCCCTTCACCTCCCCACGTCTCGAGTGAGAAAGCCACTAAGCGGTTCAGTAGCCGTGACCGGGAGCCGGCTAATTGATGTCCCCGGGCCATTGTGGGCTTTCGCTATGATGCCAGTTTTTGAGTTGGCGCGCCGGGAACACCCCCCCCCCCCCCAGGAGGAGGGACGTTCCCACCGGCTCCTCGCCCTGCTCGGTAATTAGTCTCGTCGTGCTCCCGCCTTTGTGCCGGTGACAACCGCCCCCGTCGGGCCCAGACATTCCCGGGGATTCCGGGTTTACTCAGCCTCGCCGTGGAGGCCCCCCCCCCCCCCCCCCCCCCCCCCAGACTGGACTGTGCGGGACGCCGGCGGCGTCAGCGGCTGCCGGCTTGGTTTGGAGACGGCGCTACCAGGCGACCGTTCGCGATAGCGGAGCGCAGACATAGCGGGGGTGGCCGGGGGGCGGGCGATGAGTCACCGCCGCGACCGGCTTGTTACTTTCTACGCCCGGCTTGTCGCTCTCTCTTACGCCGTCGTGCCGTGTGCGGCTCGGCTTTTATTTTGCCGCACGGGCATTCTTGCGCGATTAATCAGGTGCCGCACCTGTTCCCACCACCCCCCCCCCCCCGTGTTTATTTATTTGCCGTCGCAGTTGAACTAAAGTCGTTACGCTTACGTCATGTCGCGCTCCCACACGGTCGCATGCTCGTAGCGGGCGCGCGACTTTTTTTTTTCTTCTGTCTCCGAATGCCGTAAAACAATTTCCCCGTCATCTCAAACGTAAATACGGGACCGCGTTGGCAACGGCACGCGCCAGAAATGCCGCCGTGTGCGATGGGGAGTGGTTGCGCAGCGGTTAGCGCCGCTGCGCCGCCGAACCCGGCGACCCGGGTTCGATTCCCACTCTCACGGCCGCCACCGGTGACGATAATTTTAACCGGTCCTGGGCCTCCCCTAGGTCGACTCGGCCTCAAATGAGTTGCTGGTGTGGTGTTGACCACTCACCCCCTCGCGTGCTCTGCCGGCCTTCATAGGTGCTCACTAACAGCACTTGCCTCTACAGTCTGTTAAGGCTATACGGGGGGGGATCTTTGACTTTGTACAGCTGTTTTTATCAATCTACTGATGAATGAGGGCCTCGCCTCTCCACGCCACATCGCGCTGGGTTATTTGACCATATATTTCAGCACGCCTGCTTAAGAAGCGGATTGATGAAGGCAGCTAAACATAGATGTGGGACCATAGTACAGTACAACAACGCATGTTGCTGCGCTGCTGCCCTCTGCTGCCCACCGTGTAACACCGCAGTAGCCTAGAAACACCTGTTTTTGTGAATTTAGTTTGCCCATCCGAGCACTATCCAGGCTCAATCCCCCTGCTCAGCTTGCGAAATCTGACGAGACCAGGAGCGATGCCGGTGATCGGATCACAGTGTTGCGTGCAACACTTCCAACCCGCTCGTTGCAGAATCACAAAATGTTATATAGGGACACCTTTACTTACAAACGAGTTGGGTTCCAGAGGTCTGTCCATAAGTTGATTTGTTCATAAGTCCAACTTTACTCCTGTTGATTCCAAACATGTTGTACAGCATGCACACTAAACACATCTCCTGTAGATGTAGATGCCACTGTTCTTCTTGCTACCACCCTCAACACTTTCACCACTCTTGCGCTTCTGAGACACGATGGGGGTTGACGATGTTCGTGAAAAGCATAGAGAACGTCGTAGTGAACCGCACGGCGACAACACATCAACAAAGAATGGCGGTGGCCCCGGCATAAATGCTGGGAATTATGGGTAATGACACCAAGCAACCATCGCCATCTATTGCACAGTGGTTGAATATGACTCTCGGTCCGAACAGGCAACTGGACATACGGACAGGTTTGTTCGTATCTCTTGAAAGTTCGTAAGTCGAATGTTTGTAAGTAGAGGAGTCCCCTTGTACAGAGTTACACTTCCAGCAGTTTCCCCCCTCCCGCTCAATGTAGCCGGTGAACACTTTTCAGATACTCGGGTCATGGCGAGGTCAAAGACGAGAAAAAAAATCTATCCGGCGTAAATATTAACAGATACACGTTACACGTGGAACGTTTTACGCGATTGAATGATTTGGCGCTATTTTATTATAAATCTACCGCCGCAGGTGTGCGGAATCTTAATGCCTAAAACAGGTCCTTTATGAATTAACCTTTCCCCCCGCGCCCCCCCACTCCCCACATGTTTCTCATTTACAGTTTATCCCAGTTTAGAGGGACTATGAGAATGATGGCGGCCCTTTTGCGGGCTTAGACACAAGACCCTCGCACCGCACTGTACGAGCGAGCGAAAGTGCGGAGTCTATCCAAAGCAGAGGGACGAGAGGGCGTGGGGTGATGGCGATGGTGGAGGCGGGGGGGGGGGGCAGTGATGGGGGAGCCTGTCCAGGTGTTCGGCATGGGCGATGTTTAATGTTCGCTTCAAAGCCCGCCGCAGTCTTCAAGCTCTCATGTGTTGGCCTCTGTAGTGGGTGCCAAGATTTTGCACGTTCTAAATGGGAGGAGGTATGCGGAGTGGTGCGGAGGGCCATTATTCAGCGGCGCACACTGTCTGTGGAGCGCAGTACGGGCTCCTCTGTAAGAATGTTTCCCTAACCACGTTCAAATGCGCTTTCTAACATTTTTCTTTTGGTGGGTGGTGGTGGGGTGCCCACAATAAAATGGGCTTTAAAAGAAACTTGCCTTCAAAATTGTAGCCTTCTTTTTTTGTAACCCTTGCTGTTAACGGTTTTGGTAGTGAGAGCAAATTAAACTTACTTTGGAAGAGTGGAGCGGTTGGTTGGCTTCGTCGTCGCTGGGATTCGTGTAAAAGGAGAGGTGGCTCTTGTGGCTCAGACTGTCAGAGTGCTGAGAGGCTGCCGCCGCTGAGATCATCCGTTCCACATCTGGGCGGCCACCTGTGATTAAACTCGGTTTTCGAGTGCTGTGAGTTGATTGAGTTGACGGTCTCCACCCGGTCACCAATGACGGCACAACAACAAGAACAACAACAAAAAACCCCGAGCATCTGAAATTTGATTGCGCGTTTCATTTGGCTGAATTGTATCTTGTGAGCATTAAAATATTGTGCTAGGTTGTCGTGTGAGGAACATTGCCCTCGTGCAGAGTCTGTAAGGAAAAGAGGTGCTCTCTACCATAAGAACCAGAGAGGTCACTTGAATGAATCTCAGAGGTAGCTATGTGCCATCTGCCTCTGTGGGCCATTCTCTAACATGGAGGGTTGCACTGATCTCGTGAGATCTGCGTGAATGACAACAACAACAAAAACGTTGATGCAAAACAAGATTGTACAAAATGTATTGTGAGCATCTTTATGGATGGGTGGATGAGATAATATTTGATCCGTCAAACTGTGGGCACTTGTGGGCACAAATTATATTGTTCAGTTGTGAATGAGACCCCTTTGTTGATTGTCCGCAATTCACCGAGACAATACACAAAAGTAAACACACTTTTGTCGTACCGTGGTGAATCAGGCCCATGGTTTTACCAGAGGGCCTTCAGTATTAACACCAAATCAACTCGGCAGCCATCTCTTTAATGGGCCACACCACGCCGATGAGACTCGGCAAGTAGAGAGCGATGCAAGGTATGCCAGCATAAACACAAAGTGCCGAGAAACATCGGTCCGTTAGACCAGGAGGTTAATGGAGCTCTATGTTGAATCTATATGTCTAGTTCTTGAACATGTTCTTGTGATCTTTTTTTTAATATAATAGGTGTTGAAGCAGGCGTTTAATGCATGAGTAATGTTTTATTTCACGGGTGTGTGAAAGCTGGACATTAACCAGTCGACTGTGAAACAAGCTTCTGGCTTTGGAGACAGACGATGCATGTGCAGGGATGCTAGGAATATCGTGGAAGGGGAGTAAGGAATGGATCAGTTTGGAATCAACCGTGGCGGGCAAATGTGTTTTTTTTCTCCAGAATATTTATAATGAGCCGCGAGGCTCTTTTTCACCGTACGTAGCCAACGGTGCTAATCAGAGGTGCGTGGGATGGGCAACAGACTACACACAAAAAGCAGTTCTAAAGAAATGAGTATTAAATCTAGATTTAAAAGTGCATAGCTCCAGTGGCTTCCTAATATCAAAAGTAAGACCGTTCCAGACGACCGCAGAAGCGCATCCGAAAGCGCCGCGCGTCGCGGTGACCACATCTTTGTTCGATGGTCAGACAAAAGCTGCCGCTGCTGCGCGGACGGCCGCAGTCCGCGTGATAATTGTGCCCCTTAACGAGATCAGCAAGGTATTGTGGTTCATTTGTGGCAAGCACTTCGTGTGTAATGTGGACTTAATGAGAAAGGGAAAGTTTCGCACGATGGGTGAGGCACATGTGCAGGGATGGAGGAGGGCAGGTTCCTGAGACGGATACCGAGGTGGGCAAGCAAGCAGGAACTATGAACGAAACTTTTTATTTTACCAAGTAAGGCCCACTGAGCTATGTTGCTCTTTTTCAGAAGCGACCTGACCACAAATGATAACCCAATGAAGTGACTTGTCACGTGGAAATTTATAGCAGCCGAATACTCTAAATGCCACGTTGATTCTAAATTGTGGAGGGAAAAACCCGAGGACCCAGAGAAAAATCTACGCGGCTATGGGGAGAGAAACATGCAAACTCCAGATATACAGGCGTCAGGGTCGGGATTAAACCCATGATCTCCTGTAAACCAGGCGAGGGAGTTAACATCTCGCCACCGAGAGCCAGATGGTGATGATGATGACGACGGGACGATGAGAGCAGATCTTGTTGACCTCGCACTGCCCGTGGATGTTTGGCTGAAGGAAGGAAGCGATGGCATAGTGGCATCAGTGTGGCGCTGCCCACCAGTCATTGTGCAACGGACGTTTTTCGCTCGTGTTCTCACTTTGCTGCTCTTTTTCATTTCAGCGACATCTTCGACGCGATGTTTCCCGTCACCCACATCGCTGATGAAACGGTCATTCAGCAAGGTAATTTTTTTTTTTTCATGAACCGTCAGCCTTTGCAGAAACCGTACCCTTTCTCTTCGCTGGAAATGCTTCGGTTCTGATGGCGCTGTATTTTTAGTTTGCAGAGCTTGACCTTAAATAGTCCTCCGTTGCAACCTACTGCGGCATTTGACTCTTTTTTTTTTACGCCATCGATTCAGAAGCTGTAACATAACAGCGCGCATTTAAACTGCGAACAGCGCTGTCCATTCCACTCGCCGATGCTTACTTGGCACGCAGAAAAGGTTAGGAATATGGCCTCGCTCGCCACAGCGGATGGAAGACACTTGCGCCATTGTACGTCGCTTAATGACATTTCCCCGTCGCTCGTGCGGCTTAGAAGGGCCGAGTGCACCAACCGCGCCCAACCGAGTTGTTGACGTTCGTCTTGACACCGTCGCAGACGCGGTATTAAAATTGAACCTGGTGTGTTTTTTTTTTTTTCCCCCCGCAGGTGATGAGGGAGATAACTTCTACGTGATAGACCAAGGAGAAGTTGATGTAAGTCCCAAGCTTGCAACACAGATCATCACCTGTTGATTCCGCAGTCTGCGAATACGGCGTTCCGGGCCAGTTTTCAGCACCAGACAAAACACATTTAAAGGAGCTTCAATGTCCACTTTTATATTTTTATAAATATTTTTTTTTTTTTTACGTGGCCTTTGAATCATTCAGCAAGACACACTGCGATGCATTGATTCCTGTGGCCTCATTTCTTCCGATATTATTATTATTTGGCATCGTTCTTGCAAAAAGTATTTGTTTGATATGGATAGGCGGGATTGTTTTGGTAAGCTCCAACCCACTTGGGGTACAGTGACTGAAAGAAACTCTTGCAAAAAAAAAAAGAATTCCACAAACTATTCAGACTTTCATCTCTACCCCAGCGTGTGTGTGTGTTTTTTTTTTTCTTATGCTCTGTTAATTTTCTTGGAAGTGGGGCAGATATTTCCTAAGGTGATGTCAGTCCCACATTTCTCAGTAAAGCATGGTCGTTTGAGGGTGGGGAAGGGGGCTACATTTGATTCCGTTTCCTCCGCCGCTCGTTTCTCCCGGACCCCACTGCGAGATGACTGCCGGTCCCAGCACTCAGCCGTGACCCCCACTGGAAGTTCCTTCATGGTTTAATGGCCAAGTCACTTACGCATTAGGCTTCACGGCTGGCACGATGGTGGGGTGTGCTGGGGGGTAGTGGTGGAGGGCGGTAGTGGGTGCGGGGGAGGGGGGGGGGGTTAACTTGTATATATTTTTTTTGTCTCCGCTAATGAAGCTGGCTTTGACTACACCAGCACCTTTTTACTTTACGGTTTCGGGGGGGTTCTCAGCTGGGCATCGCGCCGCCCGTGGGTGTGTGCGCGTGCGGTGTGCGCCCCTGCGCGCCCGTAGTACGCCTTTGTGCGCCTTAACGTCCATCTCCTTTCAGAGGGATGTCCCACTTCCTTGTTAAAAAGCCGAAGGAAGTTCAAAGGGCTGCAAAGTTGAAAGCGCTGGCTCTTCTTCTCAGCGGTGGCGCGGCATTTTCTCTTTAATCTTCCGAAGTAGCGTTGCCCACAATTACGGCTTGAACCAATCCGAAATCCATCCTGAGTGGCAAACGTGAAAAGAAAGACATCTTGACTAGTGCGTTTAATTGCGGTCGAAATTGCTACTGCCAGCATTGTGTTGTTTTCTAAACGCGGCAAAAAGCCACCGTCGGTGTTTTGTCTGTTTGCGTGTGTGTGCGTGGCGCATCGGTTAGCGCCGCAGTGGTTAGCGCCGCAGTGGTTAGCGCCGCAGTGGTTAGCGCCGCAGTGGTTAGCGCCGCAGCGCCGCAGCGCCACGAATCCGGTGAATCGAGTTCGATTCCTGCTCAAGGCCAACACCAGCGATGATGATCTGAACTGGTACTTAGGCCTCCCCTAGGTCGAATCAGCCTCAAATGAGGATCTGGTGCGGTTTGTAAACATCGCCATTGTGGGGAGACAAAGGTGGCCGGGCATAGTGCTGGCTATACCCACCCCCTCGTGTGCCTTGTCGGCTTTCGTAGGTGTTCGCTTAACATCACTTGCCTCAACAGTCTGTTAAGGCTCCATACTCTTTGGTTCTATTCGGTAAAGTCACGTAGGTAAAAATAAAATAACAAAAATCACGACGTTTCGGCCACAACACAAGCGGCCGAAACGTCGTGATTTTTGTTATTTTATTTTTACCTACGTGACTTTACCGAATAGAACCAAAGAGTGTGGATCCTTGCAGTCACGAAAGCTTCAAATCTAGAATAGTCTGTTAAGGCTATACGGGGAATCTTGGTCTTGTGGGCGGCGGTCGTGTAGTGGCGGGCGCACTGCACACACACATATACAGACAGATTCTCCCAAAGACCAAAACCTAAGTCATCTCAACACTGTGTGAGGCTGTCTGCAGACAGGTGAAAAATGGGTCCTAAAGACAGGCACGGAGAGAGATGAGAGGGACACAAACACGGAGAGGCAAGGAGACAGAGTCAGACACAAGGAATGCTGCTGGTTCGTGTGCCACGTGTTGCATGAAGACGGGCATCTGAAACGGAATCCGATGAACCTCATGGAAAGACAATGATAAGCAACTCCAAAGTCTGTAAGAGAACATGGCCGGTAATACGTTGTAGATAGGATTAGGTAATAAAAAGATGGTGCTGGCTAGAACGTGTCCAGCATGGGAGAGGACCGGCTAGCCACAGAGGCGTTGGAATGGTCTCCACTAAGAAGAAGCCCTGAGGCCAGGTGGTGGGATTCTGTTAGGGGGCAGATCATGGATAGGCCACTTGCGTGTCTTCACTACAGCAGCTGCGCAAATCTGACAGGGGGGGTGGGGGGGGGGCATTGGCGATGAGGTGTAGTTTGCATCAAACGGTTATGGTTGCGATGCGATGACATATTTATCTTGAAATACGGCACCGGTCGTAGGGGGCAGGTGTCGTAGGCGAGCGCTTATGAAAGCTGCCACCGCACGCCAGACGGGCGATGTGACCTCGACCACAGCCTGGTCACCTTTGTCTGTCCAGCGCTGGTGATCGCAGCACACTGCACCTGGTCCTCACGTTGTGCATGTGTGCGGGTGCTTTGCACGGAGTTGAGTCTGGAGTGCCCGGTTGTGTGTGATGAGTGTAAGGCATTGGCCACGTTCGCGACGCAAGGCCGATTCCACGAAAACACGCTTGATTAAAACATGTGCATTCTCAATAAGCCGTCTTGTCGGTTAAGGTTTCTTAATAAAAATAAATTTACTTGAACAAAAGATTAATTTCCATAGCAGCAGGGAAGGCTGTTTTTGTATTTTCGTATATATTTTGTAGGTGGGGTAGTGGGTATAGGGGCGAGGGGGCGTGGGTGTGTGGGTATGTGGGTATGGAGAGTGGCGAGTGGTAGCGCAGCGGTTAGCGCACTGCGCTATGAACCCGGCGATGTGGGGTTCGATTGCCATGCACGGTCAATACCAGTGACGAATATTGGAACCGGTCCTGGGCCTCCCCTAGGTAGACTCAGCCTCAAATGAGTACCTGGTGAGATGTGTCAACTTCGCCACTAGGGAGACAAAGGCGGCCGGGCGTGGTGCTGGCCAACCGCCCCCTCGTGTGCCGTGCCGGACCTTCATAGCTATTTGCTAACAGTACTTGCCCCAACAGTCTGTTAAAGCTATACGGGGGAACTTTGTCTTTATTATGGAGTGTGGGGTGCGGGGGGGAGGGGCGGGTGGAGGGGGTTATAGCATGTAGGGGGGGGGGGCGGGGGGGATTTCACAGCAGCTGGGTATGGCATACCAGTATAACTAATAGGACACACACACTGGAATGTACTCTCACAAGCTTTATGTAAACACATGATATCAATAATACATTGCCGTAGGCTCAAATCTATACAATTCTCTAATTACGTCGACTCGTGCGAGGAGGTTATTTACGTCGTCGTGCCCGTCGCTGCGACAAGAGACAAGAGGAAAACGCGTGCCCAAAAAAAAAAAGAGACATTTGTGCCACCTGTGTAAACATCCGTCATTTATATACCTGCGATTAATTGCGGTGGCTACAAAGGGACATGTAAGAAATGGGGCTTTCAAGCGGATTTTTTTCCCCTCTCCTCCTCCCTCCTCCTCATTCCCCTGCTCGTTACGTTGAGATTTAACGCAGCTCAGCGATCCGCTGAGCTGCGGGGGTCTTTTAAATCCGTGCTACGTAACAGCTGCGGTCAAATCACTCACTCCCACCAAATGTTTGTCAGTTCAGAATGAAACCTTGTCTTCGTGTGGATAAAAGGAGGAAAAAAAATCACAGTAATAATAATATATAGGGAGAGAGCGAGAGAGGCTTGCCTGATGTTTTGGGTTTCCAAGTGTTGGAGGATGGGTGGCTTTGTTCGGCTAGCTCCTCTCTCTCCCCCCCTCCCCGGTGCTCGATTCGGGCGATGGGGCGCATTGTGTAAAGCCGGCCCCGGCGGAGGTTCGGGCACGAGGCCAGCTTGGAGGGTGGCCAGCACTTGTCTCCAGCGAACAGGAGGTCGCTCAACTTCGTGCCTCCCATCCCTTACCACCCCCCCCCCCTTCTTTTCCCTACAAAACCCGGCTCACACCTGTCACTGCGCACGCACGCGGCTGTGGTGGGGCCTCTTCGTGCTGGAAAAGGATTTTAATTAGCTGTCTCCCCCCCCCCCCCCACCAAGCGTCTCTCTCCCCACTTACAAAAGTTCTGCTCGGTTAATTTGTAATTAAAATAATTCGCATTCCTCCCCGATGCTCACTTGTGGAGTTCGGGCCTTTGGCAAGAAAACGTTTGTGACAGGAGCAGCGGTGGGCAGAGGCTGCTGCTGCTGCTGCTGCTGCGTGCGCATCAGCTTGGGGTGGAGCAGCAACGTCTTCTCTACGGGATGAATGATGCGCGAAGCAACAAATAGGAATCGTGTGTCACGGTTGCTTTTGGTTTGGATTCTCTGTATTGGCCCTACGGTAACTCCACTTGGAAACTTATTTCGGGTCGAAATTGTGGCTTCCCGTGGAATGCTTTGCAACGATGCGTTCCCACCAAAAGAACGTCTTCTGGAAGAAATGTGTAAATCAAATCATCAGCCATGATTGATCCACTGCTGGATGTAAGCCTTGCCTTCACCGCTCCTACCCCCTAACCAAGCCTCCGCCACCGCCTTCCAAGATCCTGCGACGTAATAATCCTACCGAGCACCTGCACATTGACAGATTTAATTGATTTATCCCACCCGGTGGATCTCCTCTCGGGCGTATTTTATGCGTCGGCAAATATATATAAATAACAACACAAACAGGGAAAGGTCTGTTCATCACCAAAATAAAATATTCTTTCGCTAACACCCTCAAAATATGTGTTCACGAACACCCTTATTTTTACGGTAGCATTTATTTAAGCGGAATGCTTTGGACCGGTTTTGACTTTCCTTGAGTTTCATCAGCCGGGTGCGGCCCGTGAAATGTTATAGGTTTGGCATGTGTCTAAAACGCAACCATTCGCCCCACATCAC